CGACTTACGCTACCCCGACTTACGCGAATCCGGAGTTACGCGATTTTCAAATCTCGTCGATTCGTCTTTTGTTTGAGCGCCACGCAACTCTTAATTACTCATTTCCCCCCACACTATTGTTCGGCTTACATGTTCGGACGTGTTCGACATATAGCTACAATTTATTTTGTGTTATTTGTATGTATTTATATGCAAAATTATACCCCGACTTACACGAATTCGACTTACGCGGTTATCGCTCGGTCCCACCTATCGTGTAAGTTCGGGGTATTACTGTACTCATTAATGAACTCTTAAGTACATTTGATGTGATTTATCAAATTTAATAAACTATAGTAAATTTTCCATTATACAAATTATATTTAAAAATTTTCTGAAATTTCTTTTATATATAAACATGTCACCACTAAATCATCATATTAAACAAAAATTTCCTTAAATTATTAACAATTTTCATCAAAATTTCCAGAAATTAACTCATAAGTAAATCATCATTGAATTTTTTACTTACAAATATCAGAGATGTTATAACATATGTAATGGTAAAGCAGGAGTTAATCTTTAATGACTGTTGTGCCAAAGTAATACAATGCAATAATATAGCATGCCACTTTTAATTTGTAAAAAAAGGCCTATACTAATTTACTAAATATCCAAAAAAGACTATTTAGATTAGGTTATTCATACCTGATCATTTCGAAAACATTTTTAAGAACCATGTAAACGAATTAGTAATTCATAAAATGAAATGTCTTAATTCTCAGGTAATGTAAATGTATTTTTTATTTTTTTAGGGTTTTTCGATATTTTTTTTAATAAACCTTTCCTTTTATGACACTAAATTGATTTTACATTCAAATTCCAGGCACAAATTAGCCACTTCAGTAATATATATTTACTATAAAACAGATTATTTGTCCCTGCTGGACCAAGCCTTAAGCCTACTTGTAGCCTGAATTATCTCAATTGAGTTCTGATAGTATTGATGGTTGAGCTTACTAAACAACCCACCAGCTAGCTGTATGAGCTCAGCTGCACTTGCCTGACCCAATCACCACTACATGAGGGAGGACCTAAGGGTAATATAATTTTAAGCAATAATTATGATAATGGGAGTATTTATCTTTACCCCTCTAGGAAAGTTTCAAGCAAATGCCTATGCATATTACTTGTGATTAAGATAAAAATATGCAAATGTAGTCTTGTGTAGTCCTGTAGTCAATGATTGTTAAAGATAGTAAATAAGTATGAAAAACTTATGAATTAGTCTTTAAAAGGTACTCTATAAATTGTGTTCTACAAGCTATATTACATGTTGTGAATATATGAATTTTATATAGAATTTATACAAAAACCAACTTTTTTAAAAAACTGGATTTTGAATCTCAACTTTTTACCCCCAAAAAATGGAGATAAAGGATATTTACAACTTATTTTAAAACTTTTTCATTTATTTAATATCTATAACATTTCAAAAATATAACAAAATAAAATCAACCAATGTCTACACAAAAGAAAACAAATGCCAGAAAATCACATTAAACTATAAAATTTACTCCATAGAAAACCATAAAGAAAAAACAATAATGAATGCTACAAAATGTCATTTTATTTCTTATTTTTCATATGAAAATATGATTTTAAAAAACAATCATCATCTATAGAGCTATTGCTCAACTGTGTTTTTATTTTGCACACAAATTGTCAGAAACAGAAAAAAAAACTCACTTGCTACCGAGTGTACCCTCTAATGCAAAAAATTCTTATTAGTATCCCTGCGTTTCTTTATGCAGCGAGAGTGTAGCGAAATGACGTCATGAGCAGTGTTGGCCAATTAGAAACCAGTTTCAGTGTGTTCGCTGTAAAGCGCTTCTCGAGCGCTGCATAAAGAAACGCGGGGTATCTTAGAGCTGGACGAAGTCACCTTTTCAAGTTCTTGAAGATATTTATGTAATCAATCTCGCACAACCTAATTTTGGGGCAAAGGGTTGCTTGTAGAGGTACGGTTCCTTTGACTTTTTGCTCCTATGGATATGCTCTACAGATCTGATGAGATCCCAACCTTCCATTCAGAGCTTGAATTGAGCCAAATTAGACGCTTTTTAGGCATAGGGGAATTTTTTGTTTTGTAGTTAGTTTCATGAAACTTAAATATTTAACAATATTCCCGTTTTATGCCACAGAAGATTCTGTGTCAAAATGTTGAGGTTTTTAATCAAATAATTAATTAATTTTATGTTTTAAGTGTAGACTCAAAAACCAGTTCCTTTACTTGGAAAAATCCAGTTTTTAAATTATACAAATTTCTTCAAAAAACCAGTTTTTCAAAACCAGGTTTAAAAAACTGACAAACCCTAATTTTATAAAACATGAAGCATCATCTGTAAGTAATAAATTTATTACAAATTTTTTCAACTCAAATATAATAAATGGAATTTTGAAATAATTATAAAGTGAAGAGAATGTACATCAAAAATCATAAGAATAAAAATAGATGAAAGCACTGTCAGAAAATTAATTATAAATACAATAGAGAGGTTGAGGCAGACATTTTAAACGTGTAGGTTGGACGTTCGGCGCCGCTTTCCCGTAAGCCTAAAAGTTTGACAATGGTGTTTGGATAGTCGGTGGAATCACGCTCGACATTGCAAACACCATCGTCAAACTTCTAGGCTTATGGGAAAGCAGCACCGAACGTCCGTCCTACACATTTACACATTTAAAACGTCTGCCTCAACCTCTCTAATACATAAATGTTATTTTTTACTCCTCTATTTTTTTTATTTTACTGTTCTGTGGGACTAAAACCCGCTGTTGTGTCATTTAAAATTTCTCTATCTGCCATAAATTGTAAAGCCTTTGTAACAGAATTATTCTATGGCTTTTAGATTACAGTAGAACCTCGATTATCCAGACTAATTGGGGATGAAGGTAGTCCAGATAAGGAAAAATTCAGATAATCAAAACAAATACTTTAATTTGTCTTTTAATGATAATACAACACGTTTTCTTTTCGATGGCATATCGGTAATATTAAAAGTAAATATTGTATTTAAATCATGATCAAATTTTCAAGAAACAAATGCTCGTATTGAATTTGGACTACTACTGACCACGCTAACAGACTACCTATTGTTTAAAAAGCTCTCTGGTGGCGCAAGAAAACAGATTTTATAAAATAAAAAGCAGTTGAAACTGCATTTTTATGAATAAAAATTTGACAAACTATCATTTTATGATGAGTAAAATTTTTTCATCACATTTGCGGCTTTTAAGTAATGCATAAACCTTCAAAACGCGAGGCCCTTCAGACCGCGATGCATAGGTGGTGGCCAATGTTGCCCATGCCTTACGCTGCCCTTGGCCATAGAAATGATGTAATTTGAAAATAAATTATTTATAAATACATATGTCAAGTTATATTTTTATTATGATGCAAAATATATTTAAGAGTTTACAGCCACTGTGCTGGGTGAGACGTTGAAACAAAAAAGATTATGCATTCCATCAGGTACATAAACAGTATCATAATTCGCCAAGTGCAAATCAGCAAATTTGTAAAATTTTTGTTTATTTTGAACAATCCAGATAATTGAAAATCCAGATAATCAAAAATCCGGATAATAGAGGTTCTACTGTATTTATAGCAAATTTTTAACTGCTTATAAAAGTGAATAATTGCAAAGGATGCTACTGTGTTTCCCCGAAAATAAGACATCCGCAGAAAATAAGACCTAGCACAGATTTTGCTGAATTGCGAGATATAAGACCTCCCCCTGAAAGTAAGACCTAGCTAAGTTTTTTAGTCGTAACGGTCATCGACAGATGGTTGAAAGTGGCCGTTGGCTTTTTGAAAGTACAGCCACTGATTGGTCAGCAGACAATTACGCCACACGGCATGATTTGCATAAGACTATGGCTTGGGAATCACAGATTTGCATAACGTTACGGCTGGTGATGGCTAATTGGTCGGCCAGAAACACGTCACATGACATTTGCATAGTGCTACGGTTCAGTAAGCACTAATTAGTCATCGAGCCCGATGTTGACGCTATAAAAAGGCGACAGTTTGACACCCCGGATATACGTCACTCTCGTCTAAGTTCGACTTCGGAATTTTTTTGTTCAATAATAAATGTGAATTCTTCTTTCTGGAAAAAATAAGACATTCCCTGAAAATAAGACCTAGCGCATTTTTCAGAGCAAAAATTAATATAAGACACTGTCTTATTTTTGGGGAAACACAGTATTTGAAAAAAAATTATTTAAACTACTTTGTACAAAAATATCTAATTTACAATTGATTTACTTTATTGTATTTTAATTTTCAAAATGTTACTTGTTAGTATAGAGTATCATTAACTTAATTTGCAGCATTACAATACAGTACAGAATGACTTTAGGGTTTCTCAACAATGGTTCATAACAGAAAATATAATGCTTGAAATTTTTTATTAAATTATTACATTTCATCAGAAATTTTACTCAACAATTAAAAATTCAAGTTCCTTTAAAATAGGTATTGATTCAATTAAGAAAGGAAAGAAGAATTAAGCTGTTTGAAAAAGATATAACTTATTCAAAAATTTATATTTTTTATATTTTTGAAAAAGTTCACTAGTTTTTGCACTGATAATACTCTTTCTATAGTGAAATTTTCATTCAAAAATTTTTGACTGGAAAGAAATATCATAATGAATATTCATATAATCTAATTCCATACTTTTTTTATCATCTTGTAAACTGAATAAACTTGGATAGACTTAATAAACTCTAATGAAAATTAAAAATTGCTCTGAATTTTTCCTTGGAGTTTAAAGAATAGCTCAGTTTTAAATACCCAGTGTGTCTTACTAATTTACAAAACATACCTGTTTACTGAGAATTTATAAAGTTATATGCAGGAATGAGTGAGATTAAATTTATATGGAAAATTATATTTCTTATATATTATGAAATACAGTAGAGCATCAATTATCCGAATGACGATCAACCGAAACGTCGGTTAACCAAAAGCTTAACATCGACGAAAATTCAATGCGAAGCGACATGCAACAGAGAAAAATTTAAACATGGGGTATATTAATATACTATTATTGGGATATACTAATATACTATATTACTAATGTATTTTTTGTACATAATTGGTTATCTGAAAATTCGATTTTCCAATCCGAACAACCCCAGTCCCCAATTGATTTGGATAATTGATGCACTACTGTATATTTATGACAACGCATGCATGCGTGTCTTTATACTTATATTTTAAAAAAATCTCTTATTACCTAAAATTATTAACATTATAATAAAACCAAAATTAAGTTTTTATCACAATTATTAAGCAGCAAAAATGCAACTCTACTCAACTATATAAATTTATCTATTGAAGACAATGTAATTCCAATAGAGAAAAATATTGCATGCATTCAGCAAACTTAATTACAAATATAAGAAAAAAAATTATTTTTACAAAAATAAGACAATTTGCATAAAATGTTTGGCCTTTTATAAGATGATCTGACCAATCTTATATGAAGAAAACATTTTAACAAAGTAATGATGATAACTTCATGATGCAAAAATTACTCTAGAGTTGAAACATCATTAAATTAGAAATTTAAAATTACTTACTCTTCTGGTGTTAAAGGCTTAAAATCTGCAGGATCTTCTGGATATTGCTATTAAAAAAAACAGTTTTTAGAAAATAAATACAATAAAATAAATAAATTTATGTTAAGTTGTTATAAAAACTGATAAACTTCTAAGAAATTAAACTTGTAAACAAATAACTATGCTAATTTTAAAGAAAGATGTATGCCATTTTCTTTTCCACGACATTTTTATAATTTCATTTTATACACTATTATTAATTTAANAAAAAAAAAAAAAAAAAAAAAAAAAAAGCTTGCTCTACTTGATATTGGTGATTTCAGCAGAAAATTTAAAAACATTATTGTGTTTTCTGTTTCTATCCGTGCTATATTCACACATGGCTCCTAGCCTAAATCTATTTTAGTTTTAAAAATAGTCAAAAAATTGCTCAGATTTCCCTTGTATTGACAAGTTTTGAAAAAAATACTATTAACACTTCAAAACATTATTAATTTTTAATAATGTTTTGAAAAAAACATTATTAAAAATGATGTCAGTCATAATTAAAAATGTAATAGTCAAATGTAGAGGTTTGACAGATTTAAGCTTAAATTCAAGTTATTAAACCATCCAAAAAAGCATCTAAAAGCCTAAATTTTCTGTGAGAAAACAACTTTCATTTAGGAAATGTGTGTTTGGCATGCACTCTCAATTGAGAATATATACAGTAGACCCCCTATCTTCAAAATTTTTAAATTTCAGTTGATAATTGTTCAAATTCTGCAGTTTTTCGTACTTAATGTCCAAAAGTGATACAGTAGACCCCTATAACGCGGGTTCATATAATGCAGATTCGTATATCGTGGCGANATAAGTAATCTGTTATGTGCATTAAACCTTACAACAAATTTAGGTTTAAATACAAGGGCTATTTTTAAAATAAGATCCGTTTGTGAATGAGAGAGAGAATGGCACGCGATTGCAGCAGTGTGCATGAGTATCTGCTTTCAGCATGCTTTGCACGTGTTTAGATACCATTTGCAGCAGTATCAGCTGTCTGTGTGCTGAACTGTAGAAGTTTATAATGTTTAAGAAAATTGAGTCATCCACTGACTGTAAGAAATAATCTGTTATTCGATTTCAGCACAAAAGATCATGGTAAGTGTCTTTTGGGACAGGAAAGAGACTTTGTTAGTAGATTTTATGCCAAGAGGTACAACAATCAATTCTGATGCTTATTGTGACTTTCAGAAAACTCCATACAAGACAAACAGCGTGGCCTAATGTCTTCTGGTGGCAGGCAGCAGATTTCTTTGAAGTCGGAATTAAAAAAATTTTTGAGGCATATGNAAAATTAATCGATTCTACACTAATCCGACTCAACATTTCCAAAATACGTATATTTTTTCGTAGTTTTATAGGAATCGTAATTATAGGGGGTCGACTGTATTTCCTTTTTGATAAGAATACACCCATGATTTATCAAAGATTATGTGAAAGGAAGAAAAAGTTTTCAGGACTGAAACAATACCTAGAGTCCAAAGAAAAATGCTCACCATAACAGAAATTTTAATATTTAATCACTTTGATATTATTAACAAGTTTAATAATGATGCCATGCTTCATCTAACTAATAATAACTATTTTTTGATTTGATGAAACAATTCATTTTGCTATAGTTATGTTTATTCTAACAAATCTCAAGTTCAATTAAAATTGTAAACAGAAAAATGATCACAAACTTGATCATTTAATATAGTAAAACTACCAAAATGATAGTGGTTCTGCTTCAAACTTATCGCCACAGTTTTACAAAAAACAAAGAATTATTTTCATTTGTTTTCTTTAGTAATTTATCTACTCCATTCAAGCTGGACTAAAGATCACTGTATCAAAATTACAAAATTTGAGCTATTATATTCGAGTAATCCCATAGGCTTACTCTAATGCAATCTGACCATCTTGTTAGACATATATTGAGAAAAATTTTTGGAGAAATATATTATATAAAGCAGGAAATACAATAAACATAAAATAGTAGACTACCTTTATGTAGATATAACCAAGAATTCATAAAGATTAGTATATAAGATATTCATATTCATTTATGTGGTACACAAATGCAATATAATAGTAAAATTCATCTCTGCATAAGAATTTTTTGAAAAAACTGATTTTCATAAAAAAAATAAAAAAACAAGAAAGTTTGTTCATATTCTATAACAGATTAATAGCAGAATAATTAAGATAGCACATAATTAGTTGTCACCCACATCCATACATTGAAAAATTACTGCAATTCAAAATCTGCAGCTGTGATTCACTGCAATTCAAAATTTTGGTTAAAATTAATTTAGAATTCAGTACTTCATCTATATATTTAGTCCTAGAAAACTATAAGTGATTTATTAGTCACATGTAAAGTTTTGAATTATCAAAATTGTTGATTAATATAATATAATAATGATTTGTAAATCTAGAAGCTAATTATTCAGCATTAAAAATATTCATGAAATAATACATATAGTGTTACAAGAGCATGTTTTAAAAAAGTACAGAATACACACAAAAATATAAGATTGTGGCAGTACACCATAATTTTGTATATATGCACTAGTTGTAAGCCTAATATTAATTATTTGATCTTGTGTTCTTTGTTTCTCTATTTCTCGATCTTTCGATTTTCACTTCCTTATCTGATGGGGGAAACACTGTTCCGAGAACAAGATGAGAAGACAATAAGGAGTGAGCACCTCAAGGCATGTTGGGTGAGGAAATGATGGTCATTCTTGGCGAGGATCTGAGAGCAAGCAGACTGCAAGTGACGAGATCCGGATTGTTAGTACAAGGAACAAAAATACAATGAATTGTCTATACGATTGAAGGAAGAACTATTGAAGGAAGTCACACAATTTTTTTCTTGCTTGAACAGCATTCTTACCTTTTCGGTAATAAAAGAGCAAAATATGCCGAAAATGCTGCTTTTGATCTTCCATATTTGATGGGATACAAAAAATAATTGCACAGAATCAAACAAAACTTTTTTCAAATAAGCCTTAAAATGCTAGCTGTCAAAATATATAATTATAATATGGTTTAGAATGAAAATGGCAGGAAAAATACAACTAATCTATCTAGTGGTAAAAAAAATGAACTTACTTTCGAAACAACCCAATACATAATAATAATAATTTAAAATATACCTGTTATAAATATCTGGAAATCTGTGTTAACAATAATCTGTATTGGAACTATCATATATAGATAATAGCGCACACATATATATATCTAATGTATTTAGGAATTTTCAATCACATTAATTATATCATAAATAGAGAAGTACTTAAAACATGCATTCAGTCTAACTTACATTATATGCTATTGTAGTATGGGGACTCTGCACCTAATTACAATAAAGTCAAACTACAAAAATCAGTTAGTGAAAATCCTTTTAAACAAAAATTATTTCAGTGGCAGATGACTGAGATAGAGCAGATAGAAAATAAACATCTCCTGTACATTAAAAATTTATTAACATTTTCTACAATTATAATTTTCATGTTTTTTCTTCACTACTAGGTGCATAAATAGACAGAAGGCATTTTACATCATCTTTATTAATCTTTCATAGGCCGATACGCGTTTTGGGCAAGGCCCCTCATCTATCGGCATTACATCCGGAATTTTCTTTAGGTTTCGTTGTTACATATATATTTTTTACATTTAAAATTATGTATTTACAGTTAAAATCATTAAAATATCATTGCAATTTAAAATATATTTATAATTAAAATTACTATTACAGTGAAGGTTTCATGATTCGACATCTAGCATTTTCCAGCATATACTCTTCTCAGCCGACGGATGAGAGGCCTTGCCCAAAACACATATCAGCCTATGGAAGATTAATAATGATGTAAAATGCCTTCTATTTACTTATGCACCTAGTAGTGAAGAAAAAACAAAGGAAGACACAGTCTCGGAAATACATAACTACAAAGGTAGGCTGAAAAGTAATGCACACATGCTTGCAGAGCACAAATGAAATGATTTTCAGAAGCACGCCAGGTCACATATGAAGGTCACATATTCCCTCTCTATGCTTATGTGCAGTTTGAGGTTGTTGCGTTCATTCAGTATATTTTGAGAAGCGGAAATATGGAGATGTGTTCTAGTGCTATGTCAACGCGAGTTAAACAGCATGCTGTTATCGAATTTTTAACTGCTGAAAAAGTGACCCTACTGAGATTCATCTTCGTTTAAAGGCTGTTTATGGTGACAATGCTGTTGATAGGTCTACTGTAAATCGATGGATAATAAAATTTCATGGTTGCGAGCCTGGAAAAGCCATAATTGTTGATGAAACATGCAGTGGACGTCTGATCACTGCCATAGACGATTACTGTTGCCCCCTCGTTGCAATGTTTAATTCTTCTCAGTACATACAGTCTCTAAAACACCTCCAACGTTGAGTTTGTCATGTTAGAGGCAGCCTGGTGCCAATAATCTTGCAACATGACAATGCTCGTCCACACACCTCACGTGCAACTGGAGAGGCTCTGCAAAACCTGAAGTTTAAATTGATTCCACACCCTCCTTATTCCCCTGATCTTGCGCTTTATGATTTTTATTTTTTCCTCTACTCAAAGAGAGACCTCAAGGGTGATCATTACACCTCGGACAATGAGGTGAAGGTAGCTGTCAAGACCTGGATTCAAGAAAAGTCGGAAGAATTTTTCAGTGACGGAATGAAAAAACTTGTTACACGTTGGGAGAAATGTGTTAGCCTTAATGATGACTATGTTGAAAAATAAACATATGATTTTGAAGCTTAAAAATTGTACTTTAATGTACTTTTTGCCTGATCTTGCTATTTGTTTTTGTTCATGTTCTACAAGCATGTGTGCATTACTTTTCAGCCTACCCATGTATAATTTTGATATAAATTAGACAAAAATGATTACAATGTTTAAGATTTAAATGAGCAAAGAGATAAAATATCCCATTAGATATTCTGAAAATAGATTAATTCCAAAAAAAGTGGTTGACAGTTGGTCAAAACAAATGATAAATGTATAAAATATTGGAATGCAGTTCAGTGTCAGTTGGTATCATGATTTTCACAACACATTTGCATCAACTGGCAGTAAACATATTAATCCACAAATAAAACAAAAAATATTAATATAACTGTTAAAAATAAATTATGTAAATTTTTTAATATTCTATTGAATGTATAATAATGCAATTTTATCCATAAATACTATATTTGTGCCTGTTTTATTTTATTACTGTACTTTTGTTAACATTTTGTGTTTATTGTATATTAGACTTTTTTTTGTTTTTAAATAAGAATAAAATAATGCAACATCAGCACAACAGATTCACCTAATTCAAATGTTATAGGGCTACCAGGAAAGTGTATGGTAGAACTATACCATTTTGAATTATGTGAATTTACACTGAGGAACATGTTTCCATCATATACATTACACTTGTGACTTCCTATTATGCTGATAAGGGAGTTTTAAAATGAAAATGTTTACAATGTTTACAGAATAGATTATAGAATTATAAAAGGAAATGACAATGAATTACAAGACACACAAAATATAGAACATCTGGCATCACTATATATATATATATACACACACACACACACTCACATGAATGAGTCATTTAAAAAAAATCACTACACAATATTTACCTTTCGGCATGCTGGGCACAGTCCATTCTCATCTGTTCTTATTCGATGCCAACAAAATCTGCATATCTGTAATTAATTACTCATATTATGAAAAATTTATAAAAGTTTACCTTTTCTTAATTTATGAAACAAAATAATTAAGACTATCCTATTTTAATTAAAATCTAATTATATTGATTAGCCTTATACAACAAATTAATTTGATTTTCTGCATCAATATAAAATTATTTGTACATGATTCATGAAGATTTCAATTATCCTATAATCAAATGTTAAATTTGGTAAGAAGTTTTAACCTTGATATCGACTGTTTTATTGGAACATTGAATAAGTTCTTGCTGTTTTCCAACAGATGGCATTACTAGTACTGCATGCGGGTAGTTTATGATGATGACACATCTGTAAGGAAGTACGATAAGCAACCTTGAAATTCAGTATATGTCATTTCGCCGAAGTGTAAACAACTTTTTTCCATAGTGTTAAACATGTTGAGTTTTGTGCAAGAAAAAAAAAAGGTATTTGCGGGAATTTTATTGCACTATTTTTTTCAAAAAATTCTGCAGCTGAAGCTCACAGAATTTTTGTTGAGACTTACAGAGACCATGCTCTGTCGGAAACAACATGCAGAAATTGGTTTAGATCAGTGGTTCTTAACCTTTTTATACTCGTGGCCCATCAAATATTTCATAATTTTTTGTGACCCGCATTTTTTTAATAATTTATATTTGTTAAATTATCTATAATAAATTGATTTTTTTATTATTGCTTTATTTTTTCTTATAATAAAAGTAAAACAACTTTATTATTTCATTATCTATTTAAACAACATTCAAACTTCACAATTAAACATAAAAACTCAATTTTTAACAAAACGTAAGAAATAAATAAAAAGAACTAAATACGAAAACTTTATCTTTCTTATTTCACTTTTCAATACGATATTCAGTTTTACATCAATTTTCTTTTTATTACATTCTGAAGGAAATCGATACTATTATTATAAAGAGGTAAAGTTTGTAAGTTTGGTTGTAGGAGGTAATCTCTGAAACTACTCATCCGATTTCAAAAATTCTTTCACCAAAATTCTTTCCAATATTTAGAATGGACCTTCAGGGTGGACATAGGCTGTATATTATTCCATTAAACATTCATATAAATTAAAAAATATTATCTAGGTAAGCATTATATTTCTGGTGTCAATGGGTGGTGAGGGGCAAGACGCTTACATATACAAGATAGGTAACTGCGTGGCACAGTTGCGTGGTCAGCGAGTTACGCAGTGCATGTGTCCGAACTTGTATATTATATAGATGCAGAATTCTCCCCCTGCAAGGAGAGGGACAAAATTAAGGCTTACCATGAAGAACTCGACTTCTATTATACTATTTTAGATGAGGTTTTTTACATTTTTGATTGCGTTTTAATAGGGTATGTCAAGAGAATGTACACTAAGAAGGGATTTTTCGAAATTCTCTCCTGCAGGGAGTGTTATACATTTATAATAGATACATTTTGAGCCACAGCAATGAGTGGCCTGGTACAGCTAGTTTTGCATAATTTGGCGGCCCCCAGCAAACTTCTTATTGACCCCAGGGGGCCACAGTCCCATTAAGAAACACTGGTTTAGATGCTTCAAAAATAATGATTTTGATGTTGAAGATAAAGAATGCTCTGGCACACCAAAAAAGTTTGAAGACGAAGAATTGGAGGCCTGAACTTGCAGAATCATTAGGAGTTGATCCCACAACAATTTGAAGTCCCGAAACATTTAAAAGTATTAGGAATGATTCAAAAGTAAGGACATTGGGTGCCATACGAGTTGAAGCCAAGAGATTCAAACAACATCTTTTCATGTGTGAACAGCTGCTTCAAAAGCAGAAAAGGAAAGGATTTTTGCATCATATCGTGACTGGTGATGGATACACTACGATAACCCTAAATGTAGAAAATTGTGGGGTAAGCATGGCCATGCATCAACATTGTCAGCAAAGCCAAATATTCATGGTTCAAAGCTTCCACTCTGCATTTGGTGGGATCAGCTGGGTGTAGTTTATTATGAGCTGCTCAAACCAAACAAAACCATCATGGAAGATTGCTATCGACTACAGCTGATGCATTTGAGCTGAGCATTGAAGGAAAAGCATCCACTATACGAGCAGACACACAACAAAGTGATTTTGCAACATGACAATGCTCGGCCACATGTTGCACAACTGGTGAAAACGTACTTGGAAACGCTTAAATGGGAAGTCCTACCCCGCCCACCATATTCACCAGACATTCCCCTTCTGATTATCACTTGTTCAGATCGATGGCACATGGCCTGGCTGAGCAGCACTTCCATTCTTATGAAGAATGGAAGTGCTGCTCTGAAGAATGGAGAATGGAAGATGCCAAAAACTGGGTCGATTCTTGGATAGCCTCAAAAGACGTGTCATTTTTCTGACATGGAATTCAAATGCTGCCAAAATGATGGGAGAAAGTAGTGGCTAGCAATGGACAATACTTTCAGTTACATGTTTTTTACGACTGTTTTTAAATAAAATATTAATTTTCACAAAAAAACAGCGAGAACTTATTCAAGTTCCCAATAGTATCATTGCTACAGTAAGTAAATATATTTAAATATGAAGGGTAAATTTTAAAACATCAGAAGAACTGCAATAATGAATTCTTAAACATTTGCAAAAACTGTTTTAGAGTTAATAATCCTGATTGTTCAAATAAATAAAAACAGCTTAAAATTACCAAAATTATTTCAAAGCATTTTTTTTCTGTTTGGGCCATTTTCAGTGTATATGTGAACTGAATTTAGAAAAATATAAATAATTTATATTCATTAATTTATAAGGTATTTATATTTATAGATATAAATACCTTCATTATTCTAAATTAATTTTAAATATATAGTGAAGATGGCCTAAAATGAAACTAAAAATGCTTCAGAATAAATAATTTTAACCTTAATCAAGTAGCTTGTGTACTGAATATTATAGTATCAAGTTTTATGTATTTTCTTGATTAATCAAATGTTAGTTATTTCACTCATTTTGTGAAATGTTTAAAATTATTATTGAAAATTGAAATCAAGATAAAATATTCAAAATAATGCTTATTACTTCTCAAAGCAAATTTTCAATGTTATTAATTAAAGAATTTTAAAATTTCCTAATGACTTGTTTTTATATATTTAAAAACTTCATACTGTTACTACTTAATTATCAGTTAAAAAATAAATGTGTATGTATGTATGTATGTATGTATGTATGTATGTATGTATGTATGTATGTGTGTGTGTGTGTGTGTGTGTGTGTGTATTATTCCCAATTAAGCGGAAGAATCCACTGTATATATAGTGGATTTCACTTAATTGGATTAGTTGAAATGGATTAGTTGGGACACATTGGGTAGTCCCAATGTGTCCCAACTAATCCTTTCCTGCTACTGGGTAGTCCCAACTTTCCTGCTACTGGGTAGTCCCAATGTATCCCAACTAATCCATTTTGGCCCAATTAAATGAACTAATAATAAATTCTATAATAAAATATGTAATACATAAGTAATAAATAAATTAGTTAAAAAATAATAATTAGGTACCTATTTTAATGCTTTATTAAACCCCAAAATACAGAAAATATTTGTACTATAAATTTGCCAGACTTACAGCAATAGATAACTGATTTGCATAATGCTAGTGTTACAAATATTAATTAGTAGTGAAGTACACAAGGGTTGACTACTTGATCTGTTTCTGATCAAATAATTTTTCCTTTCTTTCTTTTTAGTTAGAACATGTTCTAACTAAAAAGGGAAAAAGAAAAGGTTTCATCCAAAAGTCATTTTACAGTCTTCTTTTGAGCACAGTTCCTTTACTTGGAGATGGGCCACTTCGGCGGGAGTGTCCATAGATTCTGCCAACTTGATGCTGGTCTCAACAATCGGATGGCTGCTGTCTGAATCTAGATGTAATTATGCACACAATATCTTCCAAGGGAATTCTAGTTGTCTTCCAACTCAGTCGAGAGACCTCGAAAAATTGTCCAGCGATCTTTGTCCCTTTGATTTCAAGGGGATCGTCTGGTCCAATCCAGAGCAGAATCGGTAACTCACATTCAGGTCCACCTCAGACAAAATCCGTGTGACACGTCCTGCTATGCTGATCCCATCGGAAAAACTGAACTGCCCAAGCAAAAGACAAAATTGCCTTGTCTCTGCCAACTGTTAGGCCTACACGACATTAGTGTACATAGTGCCTACATATTTTCAAAAGATTACTAAAATATATCAAAAATTGCTAAATTCCTTTCCTGCTACTGTCCCAATTAAGCAATTAAATTATGCATTCATTTATTAGTTTGGTTTCTGTCCTTGAGATTTGGCCCATTAAAGCAGCTTCCCTGATTAACTGGTGGCCCTATTAAGCAGAATCCACTGTGTATGTATGTATATACACAGTTTTACTGTATGGAATACTATGTATGTATGTATGTATATACATACATACATAGTATTCCATACAGTAAAAAGATATATATAAATTAATAAAGTATTACAACCATGCATCAAACTCCAATTTTAATCAAATTTAATCTTTTAAATTCTTAAACTGCTTAACTTCCATTTCATTTTTGTAATTTAAAATACTCTCTCCAAAAGTAGGCAAACTGTTAACATGAAATGTTTTTTTTATTATGACATAAGAAATTCATTAATATGCTACAACAAATATATAAGAAATATTAAATGGATTTACAATTATATTTAATAGTTCCAAATTTTTTATTCTGGTAGGAAAGCTTGTTTGGGAATAGCAATTTTTCTTGTGTGTGTTGTGGATTCTATGATTCTATCCAGAAGAAATCAGAAAGGATATGATCAAATTCTTGAAGAGATCAAACAAATTTTAGGAATACTTTAATAAATGATACTTATGTTGAAGAATATGTGATTGCTAAAAGCAATTACTTGAACTTGACAAGTTGTAAGAATTTATTAATATATAGTAAATTTATTATTTATATATAACTAATAAAACTTATATTAGAAGTTTGGTTTCTTCTTGCCTATCTTGTTGTTTCAATATTTATTTTATGATTAATAATTTAATCTATAATAATTGTGTTTAAATATTTTAGAAAATTACATTTATTCCCCAAATTATTTATTTTGATCTTATTTCTAAGTTTATACTAATATTATAGAGAGGTAATGTTTGTAAGTTTGTTTGCAGCAGGTACTCTCCGAAACTACTCATCCGATTTCAAAAATTCTTTCGTCAATATTTAGAATGGAACCTCAGGGTGGACATAGGCTGTATATTATTCTGTTAAACATTCATATAAATTAAAATATATAATCTAGGTTAAGGCTTTTATGTCAACAGATAGCGCTACGAGTGACGCCCTAAGTTTGCTTTTCTGTGAGGCATTATGCTTTTCTGTGAGGATGAACCAAAGCAGATCATCTTCTATCTATCTATATAAATAAAAATGTAATGTTCGTTTGTTCCTACCAATTCCTTTGAAATTTTGACACAATGCTGAATTCGAATATGCACGTGTTTTTATATAATATACATGTCAAAATCATCCCCGGGAGATGGACAGGATTACGGCTTACCGTAAAGAACTCTGCTTCTATTTATATTATTTTAGATGCGATTTTTTTGCGTTTTTGATTGCATTTTAATAGGGTACATCAACAGAATATACACTACAAAGGGAATTTTCAATATTCCCCCTGTGGGGGAGAGGGACAGGATTAAGGCTTAACGTGAAGAACTTGGCTTCTATTATACTATTTCAGATGCGGTTTTTTGCGTTTTTGATTGTGTTTTAATAGGGTACATTAAGAAAATGTACACTAAGAGATTTTTCGAAAAATTTCCCCCCCACAGGGGAAGTGTTATACATTTATAATAGATACATTTTGAGCCACAACAATGTGTGGCAGGGTCTGCTAGTTATTAATAAAAATAAATAAATAGGAGTAAGCTTTCCAGAAGGAAGTCTGTTCTAAGAAATATTCACATCTAAATTCTTTGAATATTCACTTTTCAGAATTTCCTTGAATATAAAATGTTATCTGGAAATTAAGTAATTAAAAAAAATGATAACCAGTGAACTAGCATTTGATGATAAATTCAGGAATGTAACCAGAAATTTGAGTGTAGGTCACCCACATTGCTGACTTGCACAGACTTATGTATGGTAGCTTAGATAGGTAGACTATCATAAAAATGCAAGCCCAACATTATTAGCAATACATCATTGAGCAAGAAGTTGCCATACTGGGGCCTTAGTCTCGAGTTTTTCGTGTTACAACTCCCAACATGTTGAAGGTGTCACATGGTACCATCTCACACACTGACGTCAAATTGGTAGTCTCGAGTTCTAACTCACGTGCTTTCCCATCTCACCATGCGAGTTGCTACTCACGTTGAGTCAAGCATGTGAGATCGCTACACGAAAGTAAAAATGGCTGACGGATATGCAATTCTTAGAAGATCGAAGAAATCGAAGAGTTAGAAAGAGCCGAAAGACGTTGTTTGAGAAGGCAACAAATTTTTCGACCACGAGTAGATGACATTTCTTTTCATGTCAAGTCAATACTAATAAAAAAAACTTTAATTCATAATTGATAAATGTATACAGCAAATTTTTCTAAAAATAAAAAGAAGTATCTAATTCATCGAAAAAGAGTATTAAAATGATAGTAAATTATATGTATAGATTATTAAAAGCATAGACACTACATTAAGATTATTTATTAATCAGAAGTGTTAAGTTCTGATTAATAAATAATCTTAATAGACAAAACAATTTAAGAAATAGATCAAGGAAGAAAACTATATGAAGAAAGGATTAAGTTTAAATACATTTTCCATTACATAACGGATTTTTTAGGTTCAACACACGCAATTAATTTTTCAAGTAATTCTCTCCACAAAGCGAATTGTCTTTTTCTTGTAAATTCGTTGTCGAATTTTCCGCTGTTCATTTTCTTATTATTTTCTATATATGTTACTAATATTTCTTTTTGTTCTTCGCTTATTTTTTAAAATAAAACATTCGAGGTTTTCATTTTGTTTCTGCGTACTATATTGCCACAAGACAACTTTTAACTGTAGCACGTGTAAACTAATTCGCGTTGATTTGTTTACAACTTGTTACAGTTAAGTTGATTGGTCGAATCATTATAGTCGCAAACCCAGATGCATTGTAAATAATCCCATCATGCTTATCGACAAACGTAAACAAGTGAATATGACCTACTTCCGCTCGCCTTTCGAGTTCACTCAAAGGGTCTAACTCGAGACTACCAATTATGTGAGTCATAGTAACACAAGTGAGTTCGATGACGTCAGTTCGAGTACAACACGAAAAACTCGAGACTAAGGGCCCTGATATAGCAGCTTCTTGCATGTCATATGCAAACCAGTGATAAAATGACAATGTTGAATATAAAAAGGTGAACAAGAGTATTAAATTTTATTCTTCTTTAACCTATGGCTATCCATGTAGCCTAGTATGAATCTGATGCACCTGTTTTCTGTTTCATCCAGTGGTCAACTGCTTGTGATAACTTTTTACACTGTTTACTTTAAACTTGCATGGGTAGCTGTGAAGGTCAGCAGACAGCATGTGGGAGGTTTAGTGTTAGTGTGGGAAATGCTGCCCCAGTAGCTACATCCTTGTAAATTACTTCATCGCAACATTATTAAAACAATTATTAATTATGACAATATTTATAAAATTGTCTTCCATTGGTTTAAATTAATATTTATCATCATCAGTTTATACTACTATACTACTAACCTGATAGCCACATGTGCATGGGAAAAAATTAATATCATCCATTTCTAATGGCTCCATACATAAAGGGCACTAATTTAAAAGAAAAAAAATTATAAAATGTAATAATTTTTATCTTACAATAAATTGTTTCAAATCAGTTACAAAAATTTTATAACTAAACTTGTATAAGTCATATAACTTGATCACAAGAGCTTAGTTTATTTAATTGAACCTGCTATATTTTATTTTCAAGTTAATGAAGTATCTTAACTTTTATTAGAAAAAAAATCTAAAAATGGTTTATTTAATTAAAATTAATACTTTTACTATAAAAAAATTTAAGAATTAAGCTAAGTATTGTAACACTAATAACTAAGTATAGTAAATAATTAGAGAAACAATCATCATGTTCTTTTTACATGAAACTATAGAAATATAATTTTCCAATGATAACTGTCATAGACTGATGTGCTAAACAAATATTTATAAGATACAGTAGAAACTCAAATTATCAAAACTTTGGATTATCTGAAATAGTTTTCAAACAAAAAACTAGAATATGTAGCATTTTACTTACTACAGAGTATAATACACAGAGACCAAACTCTCCAAGTTATGATGTCATCCGTTGATTGTTGCAGAGCAAAACTAGGTCATTTGCATGTAACATTTATGTGAAATTTTGAGTAAATTAATTTACTTTCAAATATAGTAATTGCATTATAGTATTTATAGTTTATGCAACTTTAAATGCACAGTGCTTGATTGGACCAAAACACAAAAAAATAATTAAATTTCTGGATTATTTAAAATTTTGTTTTTCTGGAAGACTCCTGGTCCCATCAAGTTCAGATCATCATGTTTCCACTGTGAAAGACCAAAATTAGAGAATGTCGATATTCTCTGGTGAATGTTGACAAATACATTGATGAAAGACCAAATATTTCGTTATACAGTAGAGCATCGATTATCCGACTCAATTGGGGACTGGGGTTGGTCGGATAATTGAAAAGTCAGATAACTGAAAAGTATGAAAAAATCCATTATTAGTGTAGTATATTATTATATCCCATGTAATTAGTATATCGCTATTAACCTACTTCGTGTTGAATTTTCCTCCATGTTAAGCCTATCAAAATTTTTTAAAATAATAATCGTCACTATTGTATCGTTAAAAATTAGAAAATTAAACCTCATTTAAATACTGGCTCCCTTTCATGGTCGAGCCAGTGTTGCCAGCTAAAACATGTAAAAATAATATTAAAGTAGCCAAGACATAGCCAAATATTGTAGCGCCACATCACTAGCGGACATTTGAAATTTGCCGACTAGGACGGTCGGATAATCGAGGCTCTACTGTATTTGTCATAAATTGTTATCAACACCTAAGAAATACCTGTAGCTTATCTGTCACATCTCTGAGCTGCCTGGTGATACGTGATATTTCATCCCTGGCATTAAATAATTCCTCTTGCAACCAGACGTTCTTTAAAAAAAAAAAAAAAAAAAAAAAACATAAATTTAAGATTATAAATGTAAAAATCGCAATAGATGATGTACTACTTACTTCTTTGGANGGTCAAAACAACACCCAATGTCGACAGAGAAGTGACAGTCTGTTGCCAAATCCTTTGTGGGTAGCCGGAGGTAGGACAAGGTCGTACCTCTTTTCCCAGCAACAGTTTGGTGGAAACTGCCTACTTTGTCACTGGATGGCAATTTTGTTCTTTTGATCCCATGCGGTGGGTATCGGTTTGTCAGGTCAAGTGGCGGAAGATAAGAGGGGTCGTTGGTAAGGCATCAGCGATATCCAAATAAGACACCATTAACAGATCAATTCGTAATCACGCAATAATGTAATCAGTTCATAATTTGTAAAGTTACTTTTCATAGATGAGATTTCTTCTCAAGAAATATCGCTGAGAGAAGCAGCTGCAGCTAATTCGAAAAGTGGAAGGCAAGGCTATACATGCTGTCATTGCAAAAAGAAGTGTTCCACGAATAAATGCAGTTGTAAAATCAAGGGACTTTGTTCAATTCAAAGTATCACAACAGTTTAAGTTGTTGCAATAAATAAGATTGTATAACATTAATCACATAATATATGTGTAAGTTTACTATTGTGTATTATTTTTCTTTTCTGATTAAGAATGTACTGTTCGTTTTAGGTTCAACAGTTTATTTACATGTGCTGTTACTTAAGCTTTCTCCTATTTTGACATATTAAGATGTTGCATTTTTGTCTTAATGTAATAAAAATATTTTTATTCAACATTCATCGTCAGTGCACGACGAATGTCGACATTTGCCAGTGTAAGTGAGAAATAATGATATTTAGCAAATATTTCATACATACATGAAAACTCTGTGAATGCTGACATTCACTGGAGAATGTTGACATTCGCCAGATATCGGTCATTCACAGTAACATATATATACAGTGGAAACCTGTGGAATACAGTGGTATTATATATATATAAATGATCAATCATTAGGAAAACAGCACTTTTTCAGAAAGAAAATATAAAAAAATCAAAACAATGAGATTGTTTTTGAATGAGATAAACATCTAAGCTTAGATTTAAAACCAGAACACTAAATTTAGTCTCAGTAAAAAAATTTCTTTCTGTATTAAGTTTTTGTTATCTAGTGTTACAAGTGAACAATACATTATAAGGCTGCAGTGCCCAACCTTTAGTCTATCTCAAGCAAATTAAGAATTTAAAAATTTTAGGTGTGCCACACATAGGAATTTTTTTTTTTAAATCAGCAACAATACATAAAAGAAAACACAATAATATTACACTGGTACTGTTTATTACTACTAGTAATCTACTATAAATTAAATACAATATACAGGTAGTCTACCCCCTATAACACGGGTTCCTATAGTTCAGATTCCTATATCACAGCGAAAAAATTGTGACAGTATTTGTATTAACATGCTAAAAAACTCCTATAATTCGGTAAAATGTCATCGCCGACTCGTGTCGTAACAGGATTGGTCAAATCTAGACCAATAGCGGATATTGCACAAACCGTTGAGTTTAAACGAGCAGCGAACCTACTAAAAACCATTTATTATTTAACATCCATAAAAATTATATTTATATTAATGATGTCTCCAAAGTTCAGCGAATTTTTCGCAAAAAAAAAATAATTTATCAGGAAGCACATGAGCACCATTCGATGACAACCTCCACGACGAAAACAAGCTTAAGCAATGGCGTGGTTGAATTGAGCACGCTCGGTAAGTAATCCTACAATTTTTTGTATATAGCATAATTTATATGGATTATTCCCAAAAAATTATAAATATTTTGGAAATGTTGAGTCGAATTAGTCTAGAATCGATTAATTTTATAGAAGAAACCTTTCAAACAGCCATAGTCCGTAAACTGCATACATGCCGGGCTGTGATCGGCTGAACTTGTAGAAAATGGATTCATAAAAACCGGAACTTATCTACCATGTTATAGGGGGGGTCGACTGTATAGGACAAACAAAACTTATTAATAATCAATGTGAAGACTAACATTGCATGTCTTTGGCCAGTTTATTGTACTCTGGTGCATAAGGTGTTATAGGAAGAGTCATTACAATCATTTAGATGTTTATTTGTTATTCTGGATATAGACTTTGATTTTAAAAATATCATTGTCGAAAAAACCACTTTCACAAAGACAAGTTGACCCAAAGCAGGAATTTAACTTTTTAAAAGTTTCCTTTACAAGTGGATATTGTCTCTCATCCACAAGTGTTCAAAAATCAGTTTGTGATACTCTTGTTTTTAATTGTAGGTCAGATTGAAAATTAGTTATTTCCATTTCTAAAATACTGACATTTTTTTATTCAACATACTTGTAATCTTTTCCAATATTTCAGAAATGTTAATAACAACAAATGAATTTAAAATGAATGAAATGATTGAATGAATTTTATAAACATCAGAAAATCTAATTTCAAAATTATTTTTAAGTTCAACAAGATTTTCAGAATGTTTATCCAATTCAATTTCTTCATATTTGTGAATATAGTTCCTTAAATTTGGAAAATGGATAAAGTTACATATTTGGGATAGCCACAAATTTAATTCTGACTAAATTGCATTTACACTTCCTACTGTATTAATTAAAAAAGAGTTTTGTTTTCCCTGAAGTTCAAGAGTGAGTTTATTCATTTTGGTTGTTACACCAGTAAGAAACAATAAATCTGACAACTAACCATGATCATTACGTTCTCCATAAGTTTTGTTTCTGGATTCTACAAACAGTTTTATCTCTGGAAGAATCTCTACAAATTGTTGGACTTTTGCCTTACTAAGCCATCTAACTTCAGAATGTAACACTAAAATTCCATAATCAGAATCAAGTTCAGTATTTTGAATCTGCTGTGAAGTGTCTGCTCAAACAACTTTTTAGAACAACTTTCATGACATGTTCATAATGCAACACTTTTGTACATAATGCATGTTGACGAATGATACAGTAATAATAAAAAAATTTGAAAACTTAGCATCATCTTACATAATGTGATGAAGCCAACACCTGAACCAATCATGACAGGTGCCCATCGGTTGTTATAGACAAAAGCTTTTGAAGGGACAGATTAATTTCTTTAATGTAGTTTTTAATAACTCAGTATATGTTAGTGTTGCAACAAATAGAATATTCGGCCAGGAGCGTGGCCGAATAGCTGAATATTCAGCTTGATTAACGCACGTATGAAATTGGCGTGCAAACCGCATTGTGGCAAGCACCCTGCTCTCTATTAGCCCACTGTCACTACGCTTAGCCAATCGCGTTAATTCTTGACAGTTCAGACAAGAGCGTCATGGCATTATGTGATAAATGATAAGTAATATCAAATGTGGATAACAATGAAATGACCTACACATGTAAATAACAGAAGAAGAACAGAGAAGGACCGCAAAGTGAAAATAAATATGAAATTGAGTTGATAACATAATCGAACAAGTCGAGGCAGCTTATTGGCCCGAAATTCGCGGTCGTGAATCCAAACAATTGTTGTCATAGACTTCGAAAAGCTAAATGCTTGTAAAGAAAGTCACTTAGCGTGCACGAGTGAAAGCCTGGGGTCATTCAGGCTACCAAGCTGTTTCGAATCTGTGAAATCATAAATGTGACTTATACCAACGTCCTATCTGTCTCTTTTCTCCATTATCACCAGGCTACGAGTCACATAATTGTAAAATGGGAAATCTACGATGGAAAAATGACAAATCAAAAATATCGTGAGGGTGTATTATAATGTATGCATAGGCATACGTGGACTAGAGCGATAGAGGAAAGAGAAAGGAAAGAGCAAAGGCAAACGCTTAAAAAGAAGGATAGGCAGGGTCAGACCCTCAGATGTGCAACGATTCTCGAATGAATAGGTGTGTACGTGTGCTGATCTTTGTAATTATAAATCGTGAATACAAGTGACTAATATTATGTTCTTTATTTTGTGCATGTTATAAGTTATAAATAAATATAAACAAACAACACTAACCTGATAACATTAAATCTAAATACCAAAATGATTAATTTACTGTGTTTTCGTTATTTCTTACTCCTGTTTTTAGGTATTCAATATTCGGCCGAATAGCAAAACATAGACAGAATACCGAATAGTAACTGAATATTCATTACATCACTAGTATATGTCCTTTCCATGTATTCTCTTGTAGTTGCAAAACTGAGTATATCTTCTTTTACTGAGCAATCATTTTTTTTTTTTTTTTATTAGAAAAGTGCACCACTCCTATGGGAGTATAACACTAAGATACATAAAACAAGATAAATGATTCAAAGTGAACATAAAATTAGAAAGTTCTGCTTTTAGTGAAGAATAAAAGTAATATTAGAAATTAGAAATTATGAAAAGTCTTTTCTTCCATATATTTTGTATGTAACTGTAAAAGATATCAAACAGAAACTTCTGTACAAGTTTATCCAGTGGACATGGCCACCTGAAACCATGCATGAAGATTTCTAATTTCATTATAAGTCTATCTTGATCATAAATAGGACAATGGTAGATCATATGGTCAACAGTATCAAGGTTTCCTGTGAAACAAAAGCAAAAGGCAGTTTCTGCCCGGTTATACATCGCCAGGTAGCTCCTAAAATTACCATGCTCAGTAAGAAGTTGAGCAGTAGTAAACGTCAGAAATCTAAGTGGTGAAGAGAGTCTGCTATCAACACTAGGAAAATACAGTCTGGTTATTTTACCCGTCTTACTGCTCAACCATTGCTGGTTCCACTTCTGCATAGCATTGGCACGGATATAATTTTTAAGGCTGCTGCGTGAGAAAGGAATGAGAGTATAGTCCAAGTCAGTGTCCTTTGCAGCTGACTTAGCCTCAAGGTCGGCTTTTTCATTGCCCAAAATGCCAGTATGACCAGGAACAAAAATAAAAGTTATCCTATTCACATGATTTACAATATGGTGCTGGATATATGTGATTTTGTTGCTATTGCAGTTGGGATTTAAGAGGGCCTTTAGGACAGACTGAGAGTCACTGAAGATGTTGAAAGAAAGAGTTTTGTTAGGAAGTGAGGTGGCCCACTGAACAGCCCGGTAGACAGCATCTTCCTCAGCTTGATAGATGGTGGTGTATGGGGGTACCTGTACCTTTTAACATAATTTGGGCAAAGTAAATCAGTTACTGAGCAATCATTAAAGACCATATTTATAAAAATATTTATTTCAGCAATATTGTAGATGTTCATTTATTCATTGCATTGTAAACTTAAAAAAACACATTTTATAAATTTTTTTATTTGTAATTTAACATTTTCAGACATTGCTTCTTTTTATGAGTGACTGAATTTCTTCATAATTGAACATCTTCAATAGCTGATATAATTTCCTTCTTATTTTTAAATTCTTGAAACAATGTTTCTCATGCAGCAAGGTTGCTTCTTTATGTTGCTGTTGTCAAAGTGTTTTTTGTGCATTGCAAATATAAGTGCAATCTTAAATGAAGCAATTGTAGCAACTCTTGATTCAGTCATGGACTTAGTAAATATAGATTATTGGGAAACTAATGTGTTTTAATTATTTCACTTTAGAGTTTATTAAACTGCTGTTAATAGTATATTTAGTATCATATTTTTTACCAACCATTTTAAAATATCGTTCTACATTGCACTTTTTTCCAATAGCAACTGTTGAACCACAAATCAAACAAATACATTTGTTCTTAAAATAAATAACAACTACAGTCGACCCCCCTATAAGATCATAGATACATTCCATTCTTTAGGAATCCGATTTCTTACGAGTCCTTCCAATCACAGCCCGACATGTGTCAAGTTTACGGACTACGGCTGTTTGAAAGGTTTTCTTCCATAAAATTAATCGATTCTAGACTAATCCGATTCAACATTTCCAAAATACGTATATTTTTTTTGGAAATAATCCGTATAAACTACGCTATAAACAAAAAATTGTAGGACTACTTACCGAGTGTGCACCATTCGACATCGCCATCCCTAAAGCTTGTTTTCGTCGCGGAACAGCTCAGCAAATAGCGGCCGATTTCTAATAACTTATTTTTCTGTGAAAACTTCGTTGAACTTTGGAGACATCATTAATATAAATAATTTTAATTGCCGTTGAATAAGAAATGTATAAAATTACAGTACTGTATTAGACTTAGGTACCTAATTTACATACTGTACAGACGATAGTTAGCGTAAAATCTCCGTAGCGTGGCACTATGTGGCGGAAAAAATATATCTAATTATAACAAAGTTACAATAAATTAAGTTATAATTATATATACAGTACCTAATTTATATATAATTAATATATAATTATATGTACAGTACCTAATTTATATATAATACTGTACAGATGATAGCAAACTCTCCATAGCGTGGCACTTGACGGCAGAAAATAGTTCGGCTGCCCGATGACATTTCACGTAATTATAGGAGTTTTTTTTACGGATACCGTCGCAATTTTTTCGCAGTTTTATAGGAATCGTAATTATAGGAACCGGTTTTATAGGGGGTCTACTGTATTTTATTTTTACTAAATGTGATGAATCTGAATACACAAGCCGTGAGTCACATTAAAACAGTACACGAGCAACACATTGATTGCAAGCTATGGGCTGTGCACTGCAGTTATAATGTATATTCACAATAATTTCTGACTGCTGTTTTGGACTGTGAATGTAAAATGCCATCATTTGATAAAACATTCCTATTTCAGACAAGTAAATATAGGTTAAAAGAATAAAACTTAGAATTAAGGAAATTAGTACTAGAAAAAAAATAAACGAAGAAGGTGAATGAACTTTTTTATAAGAATTTCTCAAATTACAATAGTGTCTTGTTTTGTATGTGACTGATATACACAAATTCATGTTTTCATAGATTGCAAATAGTTAGGTTAATTAGCTCCTATTGCTATTTAATCCAACTCCATCAGTAAGCCATGTTTCTTCAGCTTCTGACATTCCAAACATAGCAAATGGAATGCTCAACCATTATAGAGATTTGCACATGTTTTTCTGTAATAGTGTAACTGATACAGTATAAAATTTTACTCTTTAAATCCTGAAATATGAGACTCAAATATTATTCACTACAGTAAAAATTAAAATATGTTTAAAACATTTAATTACATGTTTTTCCTGTTAATGGTGAATGGTTGCACAACTGTCTAAGCAACTGTCTAAGACTTTTGGATAGTATATAAACTTATGTATAGTATATATAATACTATATAAACTACTGTGATAGTATATATAAACTTAAACAAAATTTCATTTTATGCAGTATCTGCTGATATGCAATCCTGACATAAAACAAAGACTATACTATATAAATAAAAACAATTATAAAAAAAATCTAAATTTAAACTATAAATTATTAAATATTTTTAAAGAAATAACAGTTTATGAATAAATTTTATATTTGCTGAATATTCATTATTATATGTTAATTAGTGTATTGTAAAAATGTGAAAAAAATGATAAAATATTACACATTCAACAACTATTAATATTTTTAAACATGTTTCATAAAAATTAATATTGATTAATTAATTACTAATTCATAAAAACTATGTTATACACACTTATGGCATTATACAAAATATTCAAAATAAATATCATTCATTAGTCCTTACATACATATAAAATTCAGTAGAAATAAAATTGAGAGTTATCTACATAAGACTGACCTCAAGATTTTGATCTTCATTTCCAGACATTTTCAATATCACAGCTTCAACAATAGCCTATTTCAATACAAAATTCTGAAATAAAAAAATTTTATATTTAAATGGCTTGAACAAATGTTATATTTACAAGTACGTATAATTAATACAATGTACATAAGATATAAAATTTTTATTATTGTTGACAAGGCTGTATATAATTAAATAAATTTATCCACATATTTTTTAATAAATCAGAAATTAAGGATATTTTCAGAAAAGCACAATTTCCTTCTTTGGTTATAAATTAAATCAAAAATTATTAGAACCACCAATCATTTATCACTTCTCATGCACTATAACAGGGGGTGGCCAAGAGTTTTTGCCCCCTGGCCGAATTGGAAAGAAAACTTTTTTCACGGGCCAAACCAGAAGCTGCCCTAGCTAGATTTTGAGGTGGTGCGAGATCGCATTGTGGCGTCACCTCAGAGACTAAATTGTACTAGAGATTACAGATACATTTTTCACATTATCATGCATTATCAACATTCTACGCTGTGCTGAAGACATTTGTAATGGAGCATTAACTCTAAACGTACAGTTAGTTGTTGACCTTTTGTTTTCTTTTAGGCGTCAGAATTTTTCATCAAGATATTCAGACTTAAGTAGCTAATATTGAAGGATTAATCGCAGACCGAATAAATTCATTACACGGGACAGATCCAGCCCACGGGTAGTACAGGTATACCTCGCCTTACGTCGGTAATTGGTTCCAGAGATGCGACGTAAGTCGAATTTACTTGTCACTAGGCTAAACCATAAATTACCATTTCCGGTTCTGTATTTTATTTATTAATGCATTTTTAATAATATATGGTTAATAAGGATCTATTTTAAGCTTACAAACAAATAAATTTTAGTTTTTAATATAGTACAGACAAAAGTAATCTGAATTTACGAATTCATGTACTGTAAATACAGTACATACTTTAAATGTATATATTTTAATATAATTTTATGTGCTTTAAATGCTTTTCTAGTGATATTACAACTTCAATATTTGTGGTGGACAGACATAAAGTCAAATAAAATGACTTAAACTTGATTTTTATTTTTCCATATACTTTTTTGACAAACGATGTATAATCGGGAACGACGTAAGTCGAGGTATACCTGTATGTTGGCCATGCCTGCACTATAATCTATAGTGCATAAGAAATGATATAGTGCAAATCTAAGATATTATGACAAGAATAACTTTTGTCTAATTTCTCAACTTAATATATCAAACATTTTGATCTACAATTTTTAGAAGTAACCAAAACAATAGCAAGTTATACCTAATTGTCTACAAAATTTATTTGATGAGTCATGTAAACATATAGAAGTGTTATATACAGTGGAACCTAGCTTAACAAGCATAAATTGTTCCAGAATCTTACTCTTAATGCAAAATATTCATTAAGCAAAACAATTTTTCCCATATAAATTAATGTAAAATATGACAATACCTTCCATTCTGAAAAAATACTCAAATATTTTATGTATAATGTTTATTCAAAGAAAATTATACAATATACATTGTTAAAGAGAGTGAATCTTTATCTTTTCTTCTAGTGCAGAATGAACCAACCTGGAATGCAAATTCAATTTGCAGAAAAAAAATATAAAAAAATAATAAAAAAAGTAGAAATTTAATTTGGAATTGGTCATTAAATTTAATATGAGATGGCGGCATAACCATTTACCTCTAGTCAAATTAATTAATTTCTAATATTTAATTATAGCCTTTACATAGCCCAAGAATTTGGCATATCATTTGGCGTGTTTATTATATAATGAGCTATGGTTATTGATGTTTACATGTAATATGTCTGAACACAAATTGGAAAAAAATGTGTGATCACAAGCGATACTAAGATGCTAGTGGAATGAGTGCTAAACACAGACTGATGTAGCATGTGCACAATCTGGGACTTCCCCTTTCCTCGTCACTCATTGTGCAAAATGTCACTCGTTAAAAGTCATTTTTTTACAATTTGTTTTGCTTATGTGAATTACTCATTATGAGAGGTGCTCATTAAGCAAGGCACTATATATATATATATATATATATATACACACACACCACACACACACAGTCTCCATAAAGTGTACATATGAAAGCTTGACATTATTTATAATCCAGTAATTATCATACTATGCAGTATACCTCTCTTGTGAGGCACAAGACTCCACAAGTGTTAAGATCAATACTGTAGTATTTATTTTCAAGTTAAATTCCTGTACATACTTGATATGATCTATATTGATTTCATTACAATACAGTAATACCCTGAACTTACGCGATAGGTGGGATTGAGCGATGACCACGTAAGTCGAATTCGCATAAGTCGGGGTATAATTTCACAATTTGTGGAAAATCCAAGTCGGATGTATGTAAGCTAATAAATGTTCTCGTTAATCTTATCTCATCTTTTTATTCGTTCACGGTTACAAGAAGTCACCACATAGAGTCTCTCGAGTCTCCGAAGATATAACAAACACAGAAATAAATAACACAAAATAAATTGTAGCTGTGTGTCGATTCCGCACGACACGTCCGAACATGTAAGCCGAACAATAGTGTGGAGGGAGTGAGTAATCAAGAGTTGCGTTGCGCTCAAACAAAAGACGAATCGACGAGATTTGAAAATCGTGTAACTCCGGGTTCATGTAAGTCAGGGTAGCGTAAGTTGAGGCATTACTGTATATTATTTAAAACACATTCAACTTCTGTGTTTATTTCATTAAAATTATGGCATGGTCATAATGTTATCAAAATTTGATTTCATTACAAAGAAACAATTGAAAACAATTTTGGAAATCTTCATATTACACTGTCATACACAAAAAAATTATCAAATTATCAACTTGATTTCAATATGGTTAAACAAAATGAAACTTCTAAATATCAATTCAAGAGTATTTTTAATAAATAATAGTTCAAAATTACATAATATATATTTTATTTGAATTATCTGGTATACTACAATATAAATATAATAAAATAAAATTAATAGTTCTGCACTGATGACCTCAATAACCTCACATTACTATGAGACAAAGAAAAAATACTTTCAAATAAAATTATTCAATCCTAGTACCAAATTGGCTAGATGTTATCACATTATCACTTTTTATTTTTTTTTTTTAACTATGTTCAAATGACTTCTCAAAAAGTAACTAATAACTTTAAATCACAATAATTACAATTATAGAATCTTGTAAAGATAAAAGAACAGTTTCAGATATGGATTGTTAGATCATCAAAGGATAACAGTATCAAAGTTTTACAAAATAGCAATATAAGATCATATTGAAAGAAAACAATTGTATTAAGATCATATTCTGTTCATCTATATCAGTGTTTCTCAACCTCTGACGAATCGTCACCCTCTTCAACATACTATCGCTCCCTTCAATAAAACCGTTACGTAGTATCGCCCCCTTCACTACAAAATTCCGATGCCAAGGGCCAAGGCTAACACCAAATTTGTACTGCATTGAATAGACTAGTGACTAGTATAATGTTATTTGTTTAATTATTGTGCGATATAACGAATAAAATATCTAATTATTCTTAATATAATGTTTTACTATATCACCCATAAAATTGTTTTTTGCCCCCAAAATATAAATTGTCACTAACCATCCCCTCAACATGGAAAAATGCCCACACAGATCAGTGTTTTTCAATGGGGATGATATCGCCCCATTGAAAAACACTGATCTATATAGAACCATAAATAGCATTACAGCTAATAAAATTAAGAGATATTTTGTTTGGAAAATGTTTATATTCCAAACATACATATGCATGCAAGATCTAATTTTTGATATAAGCTTGCAATATTAAGTCTAATAGAAAAACTTATTTTATATATAATTTTTTCTTCTCTAACATCAAAATACCTATATTTTCATTCAAACTAATTACTAGATATATTTGAAATAAGAAAGTAAAATTATATAACTACAAACAGTGCCGGCCTGAGGCAAGTCTTAGGATGGAGTGAGATCCTATTATGGCGACCCCCTTGATTGTCCCTAATTTATACCCTTTAATTTTCTTTAACACTGAGGCACCCCCTAAAACTTAGCGCCTGGAGCGGCTGCTCCGTTCGCCCTATGGTAGGGCCGGCTCTGTCACTACCGACATCGCACTCCAAGTGACGTGGGACTCTTACTCTTAAGATTATGGTAGCAAGCACTGCATGATCACTGTTGGTCTTCCTCTCACACGCCCTCACTACCCTAATCATCCCCGTAACAATAATAACTAGGACTTCTACACGTCCAAACCCGACAAGACCAAAACTTGTCAACAGACTGACCGGAATGCTCCCACGAATAGCGTAAACGCCATGAATACCTTGGTCGTCTGGGCGGCACATAATAATTGGATCTATGATGACCTCGTCCAACGATATCACAATCTGTTCGCCATGCGGAGGAATAACAGACTGAGCGACCGACCTCCTAAACCCCGTGGTGGAACCCTGACTGTCAAAGAGCGCTTGCATCCAAGCGCAAAGCTTCTCATCGATACCACAGACACATCAACCGAGACAATTGGATCCAAGCCAAAAAAGCCACAGCGGAATTACAAAGCTGCATCATCACCCAGAAGCGAGCTTTTGGGGAACGTATGGCGTCCTCTCCCCTTTACAAGAATAACATATAGAGCATCCTCCATCGCCTCCGCAACAGTAACAACTCCCCCCAAGCCACTTCGTCCTGCGGCACGCCTACTGTACCCTAATAACCCGAAAGATCAAGCGGCCAAATTCCTCAACTTCTTCATCCCTCATTTACGGGATCAACATCTGATCATCAGGCGCCCAAATAATACTGCATACCAGCAGAACTCTTACAACCACCCCTTCACTAATGGGAAGCTGGATAACGCAATAAATAGAGGACAGAACACGACTCCTGGGCCGACGGCATCACGACAAGCATGCTAAAAGTTTTCGATGATCAGGCCAGAGACCACTATTGGCGGTCTACAACACCATATGGTCGTCGGGCACCATACCACCGAAGATGAAAAATAC